GTTAGCTGTTCAGAAACAGCCTGTGTTCTGCCCCTCCCCTCCCCTCTCATGCTGGCTCCTCCCAGGACCTTTGTAAGTTTTGGTGGGAAGGCTGCATGGCTGTTCCTGGCTCTGACTGGCAGACTAGAAGCTGCGCTGAGGCCAGCTCTGTCTGTGGATGAAAAGGAACAGCGACTTAACCCTGCCTGTTCTGCTGAATTCCTACTTCTGAGGACTGTTGGGATTTGTAGTTCGCTACAAGCTGTGGACTGTTGTTGGGATACAAAGATGCCCTTTGTTCTCTCTCCATGGACCCTTTGCTGCCTATGACCTGTGTGGACCTGAAGCTGTAGCCAGGACTTCTCCCACTTGACCCAAGAAATGCCTCTCTGCTCTTCTCGTTCTTCGCCCCTTCTGTGTGCTGCCTGGTAACTGGTGTACCTAACCCTGCATGTCTCACTCTGCAGATCACCCGGCCTGGATCTCCCTCCACCAATTCAACCCAACAGACTGTCAGCTGCCTACAGAGCAAGTTACCGAATCTTTGTCTTCTGTCCCTTGCTGTGCCCATGACTGCTGCCCTATGAATTGTTGCCTGTGAGCTGTTGCTCAGTGCCCTTGCTGCTGACACCTTGTTTTGCCTGGAGTGCCTGTGACCCTGGACTTCATCGTTTCTCCCCCATATTATGTGTTGAGTCGCTCTGTCTGTACCCCACCTATAGCTTGTTCCCCTTGCTGAGTACTGGAATTCCTTAATAAACACTCTGCACGCCGGGTTCCTTGTTATTTGCCTCCGTGTATTCTCTCTCTGTGCTCCTAGTTCGTCACAGAGGTTACTTAACCAAAACGCTTGGTGATTGAGTCTAAAAAAAGTTTAATCAAAAACAAAAAAGTGAAACATCATATTGCATCTTCCCATATTCCTATTAAAAACCTTTGACAACGTTGTCCGAAACCATTCACACTCCCACTTATACAGACCAGCCCCACACACTTGCTAAATGATCACTGTTGCTGAATCTATCATCAACTCTGAGGGGGTAATGGAAGGTTTTAAAGAGTTACTGAAGTCTCTCTCTTCTTTGATCTAAAAAGTCAATTCTTAGACACATTAGAAATTTCAAACTCGGTCTTACTGATCCCCTTCCTCCAGGAAGAATATAGTACATTGGTACTTGCTATTTGGATGGTGCATATATACACAGATAGTTCTTTGGGGGGATGCATGTGGATACAGTAGCCTCTTCAGTTGATACCTGCTGTGGGTATGAGCTAAATAGTGTTCTTGCAATGGAAACAATGGCCAGCGCAGCCCCAACGCATGTGGTGTGAATAAACCCTAACACTCTATCGCTGCAGACACTAACTGACCTTTACGTATTCATCTCATTTTCCAATCTGTAGGTGTCCTATCTCACCTTCTTCCTGGGATCCTTGAACATGACTCCCTACTCAGGCACCAAAGGTGTAGGGGACACCACCCTCTCTGTGTAGCCAGCTCGTCATTTTTGAGCACTCTGGTACTGCAATTCTGGTCTACTTCTATTCCCCAACCGCACTCATTTCCCATCCAACCACACAGGTACTTTTATAGGGCTGTTCATTTTTTTTTTTCCTCTTTCCAATAATCTTTATTAATTTTTTGAAAAACACAAACAACTTACATTCACAACAGGGTTATTCAGAAAAGGGTGAAGAGTTTGGAGAAGGCAGGAGAAGTGAACAATCTAGGCCAAAATAGCTGATATTGGAAGAATTCTCCAATTCAGCTCACTTTCCAGTTCAGCTATGTTGTCCTAGATTCTTCACTTCTCCTGCCGTCTCCAAACCCTTCTCCCTTTTGTGAATAACCCTGTTAATGTCAGTGGCATTTAACAATGCCTTTTGCCCATACCGATGGAAGTAACATAGAAAAAAAACATTTATACCTCTCATAAGATAGCATAGGTATTCCTTTTATTTATACTAAGATCACAGCCCCTGTACAAACACCCCACAGGTACTTTCTAATTCACTCTTCTCAGGCACCCCACTTTTCCACTAACACAAACAAAAAAAAACCATCCTATTCCTTCTCCACTCCCCAACCCCTATCAGGCTTCGATTTTAAACCACAGGCCTTAGCCCATATCTAATAAAGATATATCGAAGCCTGCAGACATATAATTTTGTAACCATGGCTGCCATATTCTCTTGAATTTTAGGAATTGTATCATTTAATATTGCCGAAAGCTTTTTGTTTGACTTATACCAGCAAACTTTATTTTTCACCCACTGGACTTATGGAACATTTGATCTCCAAACCCCTGCTAAGGTCTGCTTTGCCACTGTGAATATAAACATCACTAGCTTAAATTGGACGTTGGTACAACCCTCTGGTTTTAGGTGAAGTAAAGCCTCCCATGGGTTCCTCCAAAATCTCTTCCCAAATAATCTATTTATACATAGTTACATAGTATTTGAGGTTGAATAAAGACATATAGCCATTTATTGATACTCTCTGTACCCGTTCCTTTAGCCAGTTCTCTATCCATGTACACACCCTTCCATCTATGCCCATAGCTCTTAGCTTGTGAAGTAAGCGTTTATGAGGTACCGTATCAAAAGCCTTAGCGAAATCCAAATATACCACATCCACAGACCTCCCTCCATCCAGATCTCTACTTACCCCCTCGTAAAAAGTTAGCAGGTTAGTCTGACAGGAACGGTCTTTCCTAAACCCATGCTGATTATCACTAACTATCCCATTAGCCTGAACAAATTCTACTAAATAGTCCTTAATCAGTTTGCACACTACAGATGTAAGACTAACTGGCCTATAATTCCCAGGTTGGCATTTTGCCCCCTTTTTGAAAATTGGAATTACCGTAGCCCTCCGCCAGTCACATGGAACTCTACCAGTCATTAGAGAGTCCTTAAAAATGAGGAATAACGGTCTTGTTATAACCTCGCTTAGTTCCTTAAGTATCTTGGGGTGTAGATTATCCGGTCCCAATGCTTTATTTGCATTAAGTAGACTAAGTCTTTGTTGT